GACATAACATCTCATCTTTTCCTTCTTGGCTGAGCATCTTTCCGAAACACCAAACGTCCGGCAAGTTCTCCCACAAGTAACGTCCCACCCTTGAAGCCGATTGCTTGTCTTCCCCTTCCCCGGGCAGCCTACTCACAGGCACAACCGCACTGGGAATCTCTGCTTTCCCAAAGACGCAATCTCTCACGGTGCGCATCCTCGGCAGAGCCTGTTTCTGAAATTGCAGACATCATAATATATCGCCAACAAGAAACATGCCAGCCCTGAAAGTTCTTGCTGGTCTTCACCATCCCTGTGCAGCCTATCCACAGGCACAACAGGCAACCGCGTTGGGAATCTCTGCTTTCCCAAAGACGCAATCACTCACGGTGCTAATCCTCGGCAGAGCCTGTTCCCGAAAAGGCAAACGTCCGGCTCCTTGTCCCACACGGAAGGCGGCAGCCCTGAAAGCTGTTGCTGGTCTTCTACCTTCCCCGTGCAGCCTATTCACAGGCACAACCGCACTGGGAATCTCTGCTTTCCCAGAGACGCAATCTCTCACGGTGCGCATCCTCGGCAGAGCCTGTTCCCAAAAAGGCAAACGTCCGGCTCCTTGTCCCACACGGAAGGTGGCAGCCCTGAAAGCTGTTGCTGGTCTTCCCCTTCCCCGTGCAGCCTATTCACAGGCACAACCGCACTGGGAATCTCTGCTTTCCCACAGATGCAATCCCTCACGGTGCTAATCCTCGGCAGAGCCTGTTCCCGAAAAGGCAAACGTCCGGCTCCTTGTCCCACACGGAAGGTGGCAGCCCGGAAAGCTGTTGCTGGTCTTCACCTTCCCCCTGCAGCCTATTCACAGGCACAACCGCACTGGGAATCTCTGCTTTCCCAAAGACGCAATCCCTCACGGTGCGCATCCTCGGCAGAGCCTGTTCCCGAAAAGGCAAACGTCCGGCTCCTTCTCCCACAAAGAACGTGGCAGCAGTGAAAGATGTTGCAGGGCTTCATGTATCCCGTGCAGCCTATTCACAGGCTCAACAGCACTGGGCATCTGTGCTTTCCCAGAGACTCAGCATCTCAGTGCGCTCTTTCTCAGCAGAGCCTCTTTCTTATATGGCAAATGTAAGGCTATTTCTCCCAGAGGGAAGGTGCCAGCCCTGTAGGCTGTTGCTGCTCTTCACCTTTGCATGGCAGCCTATTGAAAGGCAAAACAACACTGGGGATCCTTGAGTTCCCAGAGACCTTATAGCTCATCGTTCTCAGCAGAGCCTCTTTCCAAAGTGGCAAATGTCTGGCTTTTTCTGCCATCTGGAAGGTGCCAGTCCTGAAAGCTGTTGCTGCTCTTCACCTTCCCTCCACAGCCTATTCACAGGCACAACAGCTCTGGGGACCTGTGCTTTCCCAGAGACCTAACAGCTCATCGTTCCAGGCAGAGCCGCATTCCTAAAAGGCAAACGTCGGGCTCCTTCTCCCACAAGGAAGGTGCCAGCCCTGAAAGCTCTTGCTGCTCTTCACCTTCCCTTGGCAGCCTTTTCACAGGCACATTCAAACTGGGGATCTGTGCTTTCCCACAGACGTAACGTATCATCACTGTCTTTCTGGGCAGAGCCTCTTTCCAAAATGCAAATGTCCAGCTATTTCTCCCACCAGGAAGGTGCCAGCCTTGAAAGCTCTTGGTGCTCTTCTCCTTCCCTTGGCAGCCTATTTCCAGGAACAACGGCACTGCAGATCTCTGCTTTCTCTTAGATGTAACAGCTCATCGTTCCAGGCAGAGCCTCTTTCCGAAAAAGCAAGCTTCCATCTGTTTCTCCCACAAGGAAGGTGCCATCCCTGAAAGCTGTTGCTGTTCTTCACCTTCCCTTGGCAGCCTTGTACTTGCTGCAAATCGTTTTTTGACTCTGGCATATTAATATGATATAATGAGGAAAGGGTGTCTGGTGGAATACATTTGTCCTGGTTTCAGCTGGGAGAGAGTTAATTGTGTTCGTATTAGGTCGTACAGTGCTATGTTTTGAGTTCAGTATGAGAAGAATGTTAATAACACTGATGTTTTCAGTTGCTGCTAAGTAGTGTTTAGTCTAAAGTCAAGGGGTTTTTTCAGCTTCTCATGCCCAGCCAGCAAGAAAGCTGGAGGGGCACAAGAAGCTGGCACAGGACACAGCCAGGGCAGCTGACCCAAACTGGCCAACGGGGTATTCCATACCATGGGATGTCACATCTAGTATAGGAGCTGGGGGGAGTGGGGCTGGGGAATCACCGCTTGGGGCCTAGCTGGGTGTCGATCAGCGGGTGGTGAGCAATTGCACTGCACATCATTTGTACATTCCAATCCTTTTATTATTACTGTTGTCATTTTATTAGTGTTATCATTATCACTATTAGTTTCTTCTTTTCTGTTCTATTAAACTGTTTTTATCTCAACCCATGAGTTTTACTTCTTTTCCCAATTTTCTCCCTCTTCCCACTGGGTGAGGAGGAAATGAGTGAGCGGCTGCGTGGTGCTTAGTTGCTGGCTGGGTTTAAACCACGACAACTTGTCATTCCTCCCTTCCACCAAAACCCTAGGAACTTTACTTCACTCGAAGGTTTTTGTATTTTCTCAGGTGGAATTTTCAGCCCAAAACTTTCTAGATGGGAAATTATATTATTATTGAGTATTCGAACTTTTTCTGCCTCATCCCCTCCCACAAGGAAGTTGTTGAAATATTGGTAAATACTGACTTCCTTCTCTGTCTGAACTATTTCTAGCTCCTGTGCTAATGCATGATGGGCTAGAGTGGGGGTGTATTGGGTTTGTGTGGCAAGGTTTTAGTAGTGGAGGGGGCAGGTTACAGGGGTGGCTTCTGTGAGAAGCTGCTAGAAGCTTCTCCTATGTCTGACAGAGCCAATGCCAGCCAGCTCTAAGATGGACCCACCACCGGCCAAGGCCAAGCCAATCAGTGATAGTGGTAGTGCCTCTGTGATAACATATTTAAGAAGGAAAAGAAGTTGCAGGGCACACAGAAACAGCCACCAGAGAGAGGAGTGAGAGAACATGTAAGAGAAACAACCTGCAGACACCAAGGTCAGTGAAGAAAGAGGGGGAGGAGGTGCTCCAGGTGCCGCCAGAGCAGATTCCCCTGCAGCCTGTGGTGAAGACCATGGTGAAGCAGGCTGTCCCCCTGCAGCCCATGGACATCCATGGTGAAGCAGATATCCACCTGCAGCCCAGCAGGACCCCACACTGCAGCAGGTGGGTGCCCAAAGGAGGCTGTGACCCTGTGGGAACCCCGCGTTGGAGCAGGCTCCTGGCAGGACCTGCAGATCTGTGGAGAGAGGAGCCCACAGAGCAAGTTTCCTGCAGGACTTGTAACCCCACGGGGGACCCACACTGGAGCAGTGTGCTCCTGAAGGACTGCATGCCGTGGAAGGGACCCATGCTGGAGGAGTTTGTGAGGAACTGCAGTGCATGGGAGGGACCCACATTGGAGAAGTTCTTGGAGGACTGTATTGTGTGGGAGGGACCCCACGCTGGAGCAGGGGAAGAGTGTGATGAGTCTGGCCCCTGAAGAGGATGAAGTAGCACAGACAATGTGTGATGAACTGACCGATTCCTATTCCCCGTCCCCATACACCACTGCGGGGAGGTAGATAGAGAAGGTGGGAGTGAAGCTGTGCCCAGGAAGAAGGGAGGGGTGGAGGGAAGGTGTTTTGAGATTTGGTTTTATTTCTCATTACCCTACTCTGGCTGACTGGCAATAAACTAATTTAATTTTCCCGAGTTGAGTCTGTTTTGCCCGTGACAGTAATTGGTTAAGTGATCTCTCCCTGTCCTTATCTTGACCCACAAGCCCTCTGTTATATTTTCTCTCCCCTGTCCAGCTGAGGCAGGGGGGGAGTGACAGAACAGCTTTGATGGGCACCTGGAGTCCAGCCAGGGTCAACCCACCACAGGGAGAATGCTTATATACTTGTGGGTATCAGGTGAAAGTAAATTGCCAACCTTCCCAAGTGAATGCAAAGCAATCTTGGTTCTCTGTTTGCAGAGGAATCATAAAAAACTTATAATCTTTAACATCCACTGTTGCCATAATCGGGTGGGCTCATTCTGGATTGTAGTTATAAGCTCAGCAATATGAGGTACCACAGATGTTAATGGACCGGTATTTGCATTAAGTCAGTGATAATCTGTAGTCAATGTCCACTTGCCATTACGTTTTCGTACTGGCCACACTGGGGAGTTAAAAGGAGAGTGGGTTGGAATCACGATACTTTGTCCCTTTAAGTCCTCTGATACAGGCGCTATTCCGTCTCTGGCCCCCAAGGGTATCGGGTAAGGCTGAGCATTCGTAAACTTCGAAGGGGGAAGTAGCGGCGCAGCTTGTAGCAGCCAAACATCTATGGTGGGAGAGCCAAATGGCCGCTGCCTCCCTTAATTATCAATCCACATCTTCCCCTTTAAAACATCAAGTCCCAAGAGGTTAAGTGGCAATTCCCCCACAACTATCCCACTCTAGTGGCACTGTCTTATCCTGGCAACCGCAGGCTGACCATTACTAATGCCTGTGGTTGAACATTGCTGAATGCATCTGCCACAAACAGCTGCTGTTTGGAGGGTGTAATTGCACAGTTAGCAGAGTCTTTGGTTTTGACAGCTGAAATTTGAGCTCCGGTATCTACCAAAAATGTGACTGGGACTTGTTTTGGTCCCACAATGCCAGTAATGAGTAAATCACCCCAGCTGTTTTCAGTGAGCTGTCTGATGTATATCCAGCCTTCCCCAAACTGCTCACCATTGAAGGGCGAAGGTTCTAGTTTCCCACTGTTTTTTGGGGGGCATTTGGCCCTGATAAATCAATCAAGGACGGTGTGCTGGGAATAGTATTCACAAAATCCACCTCTCCGTTTGCTGGTTTATTGGACCACCCTGCTACCAACTTTTCTAATTTGTCTGTTGGCAGCCTGTCCATTAAGTCACGTGGGAGCCCCTTCTGCTGCCCCTTTGCCCACAGTCTATTATGTTTGTTTGGGATGTCTCTCCCTCAGAGCAGTTTGGCAAGGGGTGTTCTCTTATCACTCCCAGGGTGCAGAACTATTTTTACCTCCGCTCGCCTCAAGCCCTTGGAATCTGTTTTGGTGGCAGGAAGACTAACGGGACTGTACTTGTGCCCATAATTAATCAATTCCCGGGCCACTTCTCCCCAAGTCCACACTTTCCTATCATCTGAGGGTCAGTGGTGCTGATCAGGTGTAAGTCCTTCTAAAGCAGCTGCGACTCTTTTGCCCTGGGGCATCACCTGTATCCTTCCTTGTAACTGTATAGTAATCGGCTTCAAAGAATCAGAGAGTCCCCTTATAAGGGGAGTAATTTGCTCGGGATCCACGGACATCATCATTGAGGACTCCTGCCTGGGCTCCAATTTGCAATCATATATCATCTGCAGACAAGCTGCCTTCTGCACACTCTCTACTGTGTGATCAACAGTCCCCATAATCGCGAGGGGGTCCCCACTCTCCAAGGGGTTCAAACTCCCCGCCCAATAGGCTGCCCATTGGGTTAAAGACCAGGGGGCACGGTGATTCCCAGTAGTTAAAAACACTCCTGATCCCCAATACCTTCCCAACTTCTTTCCACTTAACAAAATCTGGTCCCCCCCAGACAATGATACTCTCCACGCATACTCCATTTCTGATTCCTTAAGCATTTGGCCAAATACCTTTTTTAGTTTTGCCAACTGAGTGGCGGTATAGGGGACTTCTTTAGTTGTAATCTGGGGGAACTGGTCCTGCTCATCATTGTAAATATACTCAGTTTTGACCAAGTGTTGCAGTGAAGGCAGTTCCAACTTTTCTACTCTCTCTTTTGCTGCCTGCAGGTCATTAAAGGGGTAGCTAATTTCTAATCTGGGGGGAGTTTCCACAAGGACAGTATCCACAAGGAGCTGCTCCTTAAAAGCAGTCTGCAAATGTTTCACTTGGCTCTTTTCTATTTCAAGTTGTTCTTTTAATTCCACCACTTGTCCCTGAAGGGACCGGGTGAGGTTTTGGAGGGATTCAATAGTTTGAGATTCTGCCATGAGGCGGCAATCCCCAGCCTCTACTGCTGTGGTCAAACTAGCACTGAGAAAGGCACAAATGATAGCTCTTCCTTTTCCTGACCGCACTCTAGCATCTTTCTGTAAAGCAACCATCCGATCAACAACGCTCTGCAGATTATGCCAATTTCCCTGAGCCCAGTCTACCCCAGGCACAGAGGGTTGCGCTTTACATTTTCCTAAGAAATCAAACAAAACTTCTTTCCCCAAAGGGGTAATTTCATTATCATTCATCTTGTACAAAGCAGGGAAGTGGTCATCTCAGGGAAGCAGCATGTAAACTTTTAAATATCACACAAACCCACCCCCTTACGTTCCTGAGAGGTCTCACATATTTAAGAAACAGTATGAAGTGGGGAAGCGGTCATCTCAGGAAGGCAGCATGTAAATCGTTAAACATAACATAAGCTTGTTCCCCTTACATTCCTGAGAGATCTCACGTAATTGGAAAACAGTGTGGTGCTCTCGTCTCAAGGGATCCTGTCCATGATGCCAATTTAATGTCCCAATCCAATATTGGGGAGGTTTCGATATGATCCCAAGAGCTAGGTTAAGACACAAACAAGGTCAAATGCCATACACCCAAAATAGCCTTTATTATGAAAAGTAGAAAATAGAAACAATAGGATAGATTAGAATAAAAAGGCAGAAATCAAGCAAGCATTCTGGATAGAGTTACAAGAATAGTCACCACCATGGATCTGCGGCGTCTTGTTGGTCCTCAGTCTTCAATTCTTTGGTGGTGGGTGCATGTTCCTTGAGTCTTTGGTAGTAGAGTGCACACAGAGCTTTTGATGGTACAATTTTTATACAGTCCAAGTTCCAAAGTCTCCGCCCAGTTCCAAGAAACTTCATACATATGCATGGTAGATGTGATGCAAGGCAAGGGTAGGTGTGGTCTCGTTCTGCGCAGGCTCGGTGTGTCCTACGTAGTCACAACAGTGCACCGGTGGCAATATTGCACCAACCGAGACTCCCTGATTCCCATCCATAAGCTGATTTGCCAATTGGAGAGCCAAGGATTGATCAGCAAGACTTGCCAAACCTTTAATAGTCCCATATAGACAGTGTGGAAATCTAATGG